TCAGTGTAATGCTTGAGAAATCATAAGGAACAAGGAAACTCTCATATAATTGGAAAAGTATAGTTTTGTTTTTATATATAATATAAAAAATAATATTTTATCGAGAGACTTTTGTTACTACAATACTATTCTTTTTTTTTCTGAATATAATAACAATAAAGACTTGTAGACCTTTGCTTTCTGTGGTACTTTCGGAGGAGTCTTTTTCGTCAGCCATTGACAACCTCTTCTGCAACTACTAGTTTTAGAACTGAACTATTGAAAGCCTGTTAGAGGCTTGAGTGTGAAAATGTTAATGCAAAATTAATGCGATTTACTGAGAAAAAAAAAAGAGAACTGTTGCATAATTTATGTATTTAGGAATTTGAGTAAACTGAATATTTGTAGTGAAATTTTATGGGATAAAAATTGAACAGATTTTAAACATTAATCACAATAGGATAATGAGCTTCTGACAGGCTATCAGATTCAAACATTTTTTTAATTTTTAAAGACTAGATTTCTATGAATGATAATTGTGGAAACGACTAATAACACTTATTTTACCAAGTAACTTTATAGTTTAGTACGAAAATGATAAGAGATTGGAAACGTCGGTTAGAAAGGTTTAGTAAAAGAGGACGATATGTCGTTGATGACAACAGAAACATCATTAACAGCAATACCCAATGTGGAAAACACTATCGAATAAGAAACGATAGCAAAAATGTTTTATTACTCTACTTAAATTGATAAAAAAACTTTGATTTTTAATTTTGCTCAGTCAATTTCACGCTCTTTACCAACGCCTTCAAAAAGTATCATAAAAACCGTATTTTTTCAAACTTGAAATCATACTTAAGACAAATTTGGTTGACCGATAACAGACTACCAGAACAGAAATTTGAGTTCAGATGGCAATAACTTGCGACCTGTTGAATAACTTTGTTTCTCAGACCAAAATACTGTGATTAGTTTTACAGTAATTTGTCTTTAACTCACTTTTAGCTGCAGAAAAAACTTTAGCATTATTTTTGCCTGATGAATTTCAAGGTGCAGCAAAATTGACTGCTTAAAAACACCTCTAATTTCTAAAGTTCAAATGATCGGCATTTATAAACTAATAACTGTAACCTAGTAACAAATGTGAACTTCAATAGGTTCAGAGGAGATTGAAAAACTGGCAAACTTGATAATTATATATTGTTATACAGCAACAGTAAGGCTTTCCATGTAACACATCGTGCCTTACATTTTTATTACAGCAAATTTGTAGTTGTGTTCATGAAGAAAAAAGGACTTGTTTTTATTGGTTCATAAGAAATGTATTTTTCCAAGCATAATATTCAAACATTTTTTTTGCTGCTTTACTATGTGTTAATGATGTAAATATTTCCAACTTCTAACTGTCATGTAAGTGACGCAGGCTGTACTATAAGCAGATGACAGGACTTTACCGGATAGGAATGTGACAAGTAAGAAGGCAATAAAACTTCGCCTTAACACTGATTTGGATGACAAAGCATAACTGTAACGACCATCTACAGATGTAGCGGAAACATCCTAATGCAAGTCATGCTCATACTTTCGGAATACTAAGGTTAAAAGAGAAGACGTACAGATTGTACGCCTATTACTTTAGTGACTTTTAGGCATCGAGAACCACGGGATCAAAATCACTCAGCGGTAACAACCATTTATAATTAAAAATACTTTCTTTCTTTTTTTCTTTGGAACTAATCTCCTACTAAGGTTGCCGCTGAAAGTAAATCCCAAAAGTTCTACTCAAACAAATCAAAATTTGCTGTTACAGTAGACTATTTCGTTATCAGATGATGGTCTTTTACTGGTGCAAAAGAGGAATGATCCTGAACACATCGAAATCATAAGAATGCTCCACACAGTTTACCTTAAATTCGTGTACCCAGCTAACATTAATTATCGTTTTTAGTAATACTTCCACATACTCGGTAAATAATCATTGTTATAAAACTTTAATTATACATGTAACTGCCTCTGCCTTTCAAACTCTTGAAAAAACTAGCGAAATAAAACTAACAGATAAGATAGAACGTTACTGCAGTTAGCGACACCCACTCTCCAACAACACCTTTACTCTTAACTCGCACCATTTTTTGTACATTAACTTTTTGGTCCTACGCTAGGCTTGTTATGCATTCCTTCCTAACTTTCTAAGAATGTAGTAATAAAGTGTTGTTTAAGGGTTGCGCACAACATTCCTTCGCCGGTGACTCAAGATAAAATAACCAATATCAGCATTCTCCTAAGCCTTCACTCTAATTTCCTTTAAGGTTTACTTCTTTGCAGTACCTTCGCTAAACATTACTTAATGGAATTGTTTTGTAATGTGCGACTTTCAGCAGCAAGGAAAAGGAACAGAAATATAATGCTTCTTAGCTGTGCGTTCAAGCTACTTTTCACAACTGCTTAAATCATAATGATATAATGAAGGTTAACTCAGAATTCAGTGACCTTTAAGCACTAGGCTGTTAGAAAGTCAGGGAAAACCACCTAAAGAGGGTTTAAACTGTTACAGATTAATTGAGCTGGTACGAAACCCCACTTACGAATAATGAAGGTGGGATAACTGTTAAAAAAAAACATCTTTAAAAGTGGGGATCATTAACTGTAGTGCCGAGAGAAGATAGTACACTGATCAGAAAATGTCACTTCATGCAAAAAAAACACGGGAATGTTTTGAAAAGATATTCAGCTGCAAGGATGCTGTTAGATTTACTGCAACAGCGTCATATTTATGTGTAGTTTAAGTAGCGTTCTTGCATCGAAAAGCGTTTTCAAACGATGTACTTTGTCATTTTGCCAATTTGTTTCATGATTACATCTTTTTCTTCAAATTTGCCAAGTGCACCGTAGGTTGGGTTTCTTACGCGGCTCTTGTTCTGTCATTAAACTGGTTTATTGGTTTTGTTGCTATAGCTGGAAGTAATAAACTAATTGTACACAAGAACTGTTGGCTTTATGCAGATTAACAGGAGATGAGGATTATAACTAGCTGAAAAATGATATTTCTGTAAATTTTGGCGACAGTTCTGTTAACCAGCCGTATATTACTTTTTTAGCTTTTCATTTCACTTGAAGACTAATATTATTTTCCAAAATATTACTGGGGAGGAAAAAATTTGATTAATGCTTTATGAACATTAGTCGTTGCACTAGGCGTCATCCATTACTTCTATTTTTAGCTCTTGAAATGATGGCTTCTATGATGGCAGCAGGATTTTGAGCCGTCGGCTTTTGACTTATAGACCCTATTTCGTATTTGAATTCCAAAGATAAAAACTTCTGTATATGGTTAACATGTTCTTTCACATAGGGAATTCCCAGTATGAAACTGCAAAAAGATTTTTCTTATTTTTCAGAAATATTTGCTCGTTTATAGTATATTTAGTGAAAAGTTCTAAAAAGTACAAGGAAAATAATTCTCTCCGTGCTTTTAAATTATAGCTCGTGTACTTGGTAGGAGTGCCGTTCATTTAACTCTTGAGGAGGTGATCAAATTTTGGGCCAGGGTATGCTTCGTCTGTAACAAGTTTCTGGTGTTGTCGAGAATCTAAAAATTGCCATTTTTAAGCTTAACGTCAGATAGTAAGTGTGATATTCTAAATACTTGCGTTGGTTTTCAAAAGGCAGCGTTTGATTTGAACGTCAGGAAAGAATTAGATTTTCAAGAGTCATCCTGTAATGAAATAAAGATAGTTTTTGTAGAAGTAAGTGGAAAACTGATTTTTTTTTTTAATTTATGTTCTGCTTCACGTAATTCCTCCACATTTGCGGTCAGCTATTATAGCCTTCATTATGGCAATCTTCATTCGACAGTAGATTACCCAACAGTCTGTTATTAATTAGCTCTATGATCCTCATGTAAAATGCTGAGATAAGTTCAAAGCGAGCAGCACAGCGAAAATTAATAAATCAGAAAAAGCAAGAAAAAACGGAAGGGTTACAAAGAGCGGGCAGTGGTATTTTTTAGAGTAAGCAACTGTTAGCGAGCAAAACAGGATCGGAATTTTCTAATCTAATAAACACCAAAATGAACCTTAAGAAACAAACTTTTTTGAAAGTCTAAACCAGTTTTGAAACACCTGAGGTTCTTCCAGAAATTGGAAAGGAATCTTTGGAAGAAATTGCTGATTGTAAGAGGTATTTAGTAAATGAGGGTGGAAGTTTTTAATGTGCTTTATTCGGAGTAAGATTGACTGAAGAAAAAAAGAATTTTTACGTTGTGCACCTTATGAATTTTCTTTCGATGGTGCCGTTTAGGGAAAACCTCAATGTATCCTAAAAACGGAGAAGGAAATCGTACAGTTCTGATGTAGAGTACTAAGGTGCGCGTTTTGGAAAATTTAGAAACTGCTTCCAACATCTAAATTAAGAGGCAGCAGGAAGTTTGTGTTGCTGGTAGGATCAATAACTGTAGGTAAGAAACACCTTATGTTGAGTTTTGTTTGAGGATCTCGAGGAAAGTATATACAGTATTTGCATAAGAAGAGAGCCAGATGCTTGTGTTTACAGAAGGAAGGAGTCTGAGGAGAACGGCTTTTGGATGGAACATGTGCGAGGGTTTTACTCTGTTTAATTATCTGTATACAGCCGTTTCGAACATATCAGACGTTAAAAGGCAGTGTTTAGAACTGTGCTTTAGTTGCTGACTGTTATATACTTGCGATTGTTCGATGAAGGTTCTAAGATTCATTTATTTGTATTTTTTGTCCTTGTTTGTTATATATTTTTGTTCCGTATCAAGAATCTTACAGGGTAAGCTTGCGAAGAAGGCATTGCATTTTCTGTAGCTGGAGGTTAAAAGTTTATGAATTATTTTTATTTTCTCTGGCATTTGCCTTCCGGCGAAAAACTTACGAGTTTTCCTTTGTATCGTAATTTTATCATTTTTTTGCAATGTGAAAGTTAGCGCTCAATATATTTGACGTTACAAAAGTTGTTACTTTTTGACAAATCTATACAAGTACAAATTTTAAGGAATGGGTAAAAAGTTGAAGACAGGAAAACAGAGAAAAGACAAGTACTATCGGCTTGCAAAGGAAGCAGGTGATGAGAACACAGTCTAGAACTACTTTACTAAGTTGTTAGCCTTCCTATCTTTGGTTTTACTCTACAGCTAATTTTTACCAGTTACATTTTTCAGGATATCGTTCTCGAGCAGCATTCAAACTCATTCAGCTTAATAAGCGTTTTGAATTCTTACAGAGGTCTCGGACACTTGTTGATCTTTGTGCAGCACCAGGAGGATGGCTTCAGGTTGCTTCTCAAAACATGCCTGTCTCTTCTGTCTGCATAGGTATGCTTCTTTTTGTTGATTTAAATACTCCATATGTTTGTATATTAAGACTGAAGCATTGTCTAAAGTTTCTTCTATTTTATTTCTTCTAATCTTAATGGGTTTGTAACGCATATTTCATCCTGTTACTTCAGGAGTTGATCTGGTTCCCATAAAAGCTCTCAAGAACTGTGTCACTCTCCAGGGTGATATAACTACTGAGAAAACTAGGCAGATGATTAAAAAAGAGCTGCAAACCTGGGATGTTAGTTTTAATTTTTTTTTTGTTGTCTTCTGTTAACAAGTTTTGTATTGAACATCCTTTTATCTTGTCATTACCTGGCTTGCGAGATAGGTAAAAGCACATTTTTTGCTAATTATTAGTAGTTTAAAAGTTATAAATTTTACATTAATCTTTCTTTAGAGGCATTTATTAGGGTTGTAATATGTTTTCCTTGAGACCTAAAGAACTGACGTTTTTTTATGCAAAAAATCAGGTGTTTCAGGCTATTTAAGCTAATATCTAAACTTCTGACTGATATTCTTTTTGAGGCTTAAGAACGTGAAATATTTAATGAAATTTTCCAATTGTAGTAAATTCCCTTTTTTTGGTGACGATTTTTACAGGCGCCATGTCGTTTGCTTCTTTCAAGTGGTTAAAAAGATTTGTTTATTAATTTAAGAAAAATTACTGGTTTGTAGGCTGATTGCGTTCTGCATGATGGTGCTCCAAATGTGGGCTTGAATTGGGTCCATGACGCCTTTCAACAAAACTGTCTTGTGCTTTCAGCTTTGAAACTCGCTACCGGTATACTTGCAAAGAATGGCGTTTTTGTCACAAAAATCTTTCGCTCGAACGATTACCAATCACTTGTTGATGTCTTTGAAAAGCTTTTCAAGAAGGTTTGTTATTCACTGAGTTGTTTCATCGACGTATTGAAAAGCATCGTTAATGAAGGTTTTAGGTTCATGTTTGGAAACCTGCAGCATCTCGATTGGAATCAGCTGAAATATTCGTTGTGTGCGAAAAGTATTTAAAACCTGCGAAAGTTAACCCCGATTTAGTTGACCCAAGAAAAGTTTTTTCTGGGACAAGTGTGGAAGTCAAAGCACCTAACCCGTTAGTTCTTATTTGTCTATGCTGTAACAGCAGCATAAGTTTTTATATAAAATTTTAAGTCAGCTATTGCTTCATCCTCGAAAACATGAAAGGAAGCCTAAAGCAGAAGGATATGAAGAAAATACTTTATCTGTATACAAAGTTGTGACTGCTTCAGAGTTTATTAACAGCGGGAAACATTTGGAAATACTCAGTACAGCAAATAAGGTTTTTAATATAAACTACAACTTTATTGTTTTACCTTGTTGCAGAAAAGATTTATTAAATTTTTTGTTCTAAACTTTCTCAGAAATTATTTTTTTTAACTTGAAACTTCTTTAGATAATCTTGGATGACAATAAATATGAAGAGCATGAAGCAACGACAGAGGAGATTCGGTTTTGCATCGATGATATTAAAGTATGTGGCATTAAAGAATTAAGACAAATATTGGCATGGCGGAAGAAAATATTGAAAACCTTGGTAAAGATGGAAGATTCTCAAAGTAAAAGTGCCAGCGACGTTGTGATGGAAGTAGAAGAGGACCCAGATTGTGTTGAGTAATACCTGCTTTTTCTTCAACTAACGATCATGAAAAAATTTCAATTTTTTTGAGTTTTTTGGCGTCTTTCGGAATTAAGTGTTTCTGCTCTTTGTAAGTAATTATCCTGCTGAAATTTGTGGTATTTCTTTTAGCTTCTTTCTGTCACTTCATTTTCTACTCATTTAATGTGGATCAGTTTGTGTTTTCTAGAGAAAAAAATATGGCCGAAATTGATCAAGAAATTCAAGCTGCGGAAGCAAGGGATAAGGTGCTTTTAATTTGTCTTGATTTTTTTTATTAAGGGTCTATGAGGAATGCACCCTCACGTGTTAAACGGCCTCTCTTTTTTAAGATTTTTCTTACGATAGTTTCTACAAAAAAAGAGTCATTTCCAGGCAGTGCTCAAAAAAAAGAAGAAGATATTGCTTAAAGAAAAGGCCAAGGCCTTGACGAGGAAAAAATTAGGAATGGAAGAAGGGGGCGATCTTGCCGAAATAAATACAGAACAGGAGTTATTTTCTTTATCAAAACTTAGAAAAGCAAAAGATTCTTATGCTTATAAAGTAGAGGATTCTGGCACAGAGAGCACTTTATCGGAAGAAGAGTATTTGGAGTCTGATCTAGCCTTTATGCGTGGGTAGGATTGTTCTTTTTGCTTTTCTTTTAAATTTTCTATACATTTTGTTTGGACGACTTTGTGGAATTCATTTAAGAGAATAAAGTTTTTTGGATGGTGCTTTTTTAGCGACAGTGATATTGAAAATAGTCTACGACATACTGAAGATGTTGCTTTTTCGAAGGAAGATAAACGCCAAAAACGTGTTAACAGTTGGTTTTCTCGAGTTAGTTCTTTCCGAATTCGGAACTTTTTTTTGTAAGACTAATTTTTTAAATTCTTTCATTTTTTTTTTAAAAGTAGTTTGACTATTGAAAAGAAGTGGTATAGTAAGGTAGCGTGGTCTCGCTTTAGCATGTTGATCAGAAGTTGTAAGGCTGTTAGGCTTGCTTTTTAGACTTTGAAGTTTCGAGTAGGTTTTACAGCTGTGTTGGAAGTCCCATTTACTTATAAAAAGTGCTCGCCATGAATATATATTTCTTTTTAAAAATTTTAGTCGTTTTTTTTTGATTATTATTTTTATTTATTAAGTATTTTTGAGTGATATAATTTGCACTGTAATTTTTGGGTCGTTAAAGGGAAAGTATACTTCAGGAAGTTTTTGTAGGAAGGAATAGTTGATTTTTTGGATGACGAAGATGAAGCGATGGCTGCAGTGGAGAGGCATATGCAAAGTAAAAAGGAAGGAGTTCATCTGCATGAGAACACAGGTTTACATTTGTTTTGAAGAAGATTCTACAGAAATTAGTTGCTTTTTTTTTCAAGAATTAGCTGTACACTGTCATTTACAGTTGAGTTCGGTTCCGTTAGCAACAAATTAGACAAGACTGTTAATCATGACGAAACGAATAAAGACCCCAGTGATTCAATGAATGAGGATGAGAGTGATGAGGAGTTTTTCGATCAAGACAAGGAAAATGGGCAGTTGGACAGCAGAAAGGGTGAGCATTAATTTTTCTCTGCAAGAAAGTATCTTTTCATTTAAAGCCTGTCTCCATTCTTCTTAAAAGCCTTTGAACTATTCGCTTTTCTTTTCTGCTTATCAGTTTCTGCGTACCTCTTATTGAAATTAAGGCAGAAAAGAGCAGAAGCTTTCTCCGGAGTTGTTGGCTTTAGGGGAGCAGTTGATTTACTCTACCAAAACGAGACGTGAGGTAGAAGACTGGTCCTGGAATAGGTATTTCCTTAACATTTGTTTATGATGTGCATAATTTATTGTTATTTTCATGTTTTTATTATTCCTTAATGCTAAAAGCTGGGAGTTGCTTTACAAGGAGAGCTCAAGTCTTTATTAATGGTGTGTCAAGTCCTTAATATCATTTTGATTGATCTGCAACATTTGTTTTCAGATACACAAATAATGATGAAGACTTGCCTGACTGGTTTGTGGAGGACGAAAAGAAGCACTATAGGAAAGAATTGCCCGTTACAAAAGTTGGGCTTTTATTAAGATTTAATTGCTTCTCTAAAACTTTTTCATATTCATTTCTAGAATATCTTCACTGGAGATCTCATTTAGGAGCAAGTACAGAGGTATAAAGAACGTATGAAAGAGTTGAATGTGAAACCAATTAAAAAGGTAAGCATTTTCAACGTCTGTAGGTAATACAATCCCTAACGAAGTCTTGGCACTAGTATATTCTAAGCAGGATTAAATTTTTGGCAGTAGATGGCTTGCATTGTTTGATCATTGTATCATTAAGTATACTCATCTCTAATTTTATTTGATTCGTATGAAACATGCAGGTAGCAGAAGCAAAGGCTCGGAAAAGACGACGCGAAGTAATGCGCCGGTTGAAAGCAAAAAAAAAGCTAGAAAATATTGTTGGTAATGAAGATATGGACTACAGAGAAAAAATGAAAGAAATGAAAAAGTAATCATGGATGTAGTCTTTTATTTTGGCTAACTAGCTTAATTATTGATATTTGCAGGTCATTATGTCCTACGTTGTCTTGCGTCATTTTTTTTTTTAGAGTGTATCATAAGGCGGCTTTGAAGGACAAGAAAGATGTTGTTTATCAGGTTATGACGAAGGGCAGAAGAGGGCAACTGTCTAGACCAAGTGGTTCATATAAAGTAATGACTTCTAATAGAAAATTTTGCCCTCTTTTTTCGCGCTTGGTGACTGAATTCTTTGCGTTTTTTTCGAAAATATTCGTAATGTGAATGTAAATTTAAGGTGGTTGATGCACGACAGAAAAAAGACAATCGCAGAGAGAAAATGATACATAAAAAAGAGGCTTGGAACAAGTTGAGTCCCGCAGCAAGAAGAGCGCAGAAGGTCGACTTTTTTCAACTTTTTCGAACTTATGGTTCCAGAACTGATTGTTGATTAGTTCTATTGGGTTTTTTTCTATTCCATTCATTGATTTTAGGAAAAAGCAAAGAAGTTAAAGAGAGGCAGGTTAGGTGAACGAGTCGTTAGAAGGAGAATGAAGCGAGGGAAGCTTGCATAGTCACTCCATTAATCCCTATATGCCTCTTATCGTTGCTGTCGATTGGAAAGTATAGTATATGTTGAAAACTGTAGAAAAGAAAAAAGAAATGTGCCCTGTTTTTTATGCAGACCGACGAGTATAGTCGAATGATGGGTCTTGTAATATGGTGTGTAAACAAAATATGTAGGTCAGGAGGTCCACATTTAAAAAGTTGAAAATTGCACCTGTACATTTTCTGGTGAGTAGTACTGAAGAGAGGTGGTAGATCCCAACAAAATGCAGTTTTTCAGTGATAGGGAAGTTTTTATTACTGAGATCAAAGTATTAATAATTTACTGTTGGCGATTTTTTTCACGAATATCTGGATCTAAACTATTCGTTTGATTTGTATCTTTAGGGGAACCGTACTCCACCAGTCTATATTAATGTTATTGTTATGAAACATTGTTAGTGACAGTTATAACTTTTTTGATTGTTATTTGTTGTACTAAACTTGGATATAAAATGTGATGACATCTGGAAAACTGCTGCGCAGTCGAATTATTTATTGGGGCAGTGAACAAAAGATGCAGGTTACATTTGTAGATTAGACTGCTAATACAAACTTTTGATATAAGACCGGACTTTATGTGAATAACTAAAGGTGTAGGCAGAGGTTCGCG